CGAGGCAGCAACTGACCTGAAAGCTAAGATCATGGTGAGAATGGAAGCTGGGCAACCTAGAAACCGATTACAACGACTATGTGAAGTACCACCTGAAAGTCTCATGGAAAGTGTGAATGCAGCACTGAGGGCGATCCCAACCATAACAATCACGGAAACCAATGAGCTGATATACGCTTCAGCATCAGTGATCCTCGAGATGCTTGGCTGTAGGAGCAACCATGGGAGACAAGAGACACGTTACCCACCATGGAAAAGACGGTTGGAGGCTAAGATCAAGGCGGCCTGAGCTGAATGAGGGATGGACACCACCCGAGGGGTGAGACGAGGATTTATATATATATATAAACACTTGTTCTTTTGATACATACATTTTTAAAAAATACAGAGAAAAGTAAAGAATATATCCCAATACACCATTTTTCCTTATATTAATGGCACCTTTCAATTATATTGTTTATTTTTTCTTAGTAAAATTAATATTTTGTACAGCACACACACTAAAATGAATATAAATTAACTACGGTAGTTAATTACATGAAACACAGAAAAAGTCCGAAACAAAATATGTTGTTGTACAGTGAAGTGCAAAGAATTAAATTGAATACAACAGTGCTTCAAGTAGCATTTCGGCATGCCTTTAACCAGCAACACAAGTTTGTCACTTTTTTCTGTTCTGAGACCCCATCTAATTCAACTGTAGGGGTTTGACAGAAGAAGAATAAGGAGGCATGATACCTGACGTCATGCACTATGTACTGAGATGTAAATAAAGCCACTGAAAAAGAAATTCAATAAAGATTGTTGAGGTGGTCGATACGAGTGTCAGTCAGCCTTGCCAGTACCCGATACCTTGAAATAAAGCCTGGTATTCACCCAATACATACCTGCCTCCAATACTCACCCATTCCTTAAAAATAATGCTACACACATACCTGTCGCTAAACAGGTCCGGAAATGTTATGGTGTATGTACTCCAAGCGGGAGCAGTGGCCGAGAAGATTAAAAGTAGGATACGCGGTTCAGAAAATTGATGGATGCAGACAGTACCTTGAATACATCGACTGTAGTGATGGGACTAATGGTTATTTAAAGGGAGCTGTTCCTCTAAAAGAGCCATTCAAAGGACTGTCTCTTTTTTTAACCATTATTTTAAAACATCTGCGATTGGCTGGCACCTGGTTCAGGCTGTCCCCCGCTTACTGCCCGAAGACGGCTGGGATACACTCCAGCACCCCCTGCGACTCGTGTGAGGATAAACCGGATCGGAAATGGATGGATGGATTCATGGATTTTAAGACATTGTTCCTCACAAAATAAACACCAGGATACTTCACGTGTTTAAGTGATGGCAAATTAAGTATTGTCTTCTTCTAAAATCTTGTAAGTTTTAAGGACATACGGCTTGCATTCATGTGATAGTAGGTGATACATCAGCTATGTTGGGAATTGTTCCAAACATTGCTTCATTGAGACAAATGGAAGATTCTTAATAACTTTTTATTCTCCTTTGAGCATAACGAAATATAAATATGCAAAAGACTTGACCAGTACGTGTAGACTACACTTGAGATGTTTTGACAAAAGCTGTCCAACTAAATAAAACTAAATTAAAACTGGTAACATAGCTTCAAAAGCTGGTTGCTGTAAAACATCATCAAATAATTGATCAAACAAAACAATGAACCCTGAAAACAAGAATGAAATATCAGTTTCACTTTTCTTCTGTCACTCAAGATTCTAATCCGGCAATTTAGCATTGGGAAAGACAAGTGCTTTCACTTTAGCAGGCTTGAGGCAGTTTCTTCTCTCAGAGAATACTTGTCCCGCTCTGGAGAAATCTCTCTTTGAAGGCGCTGAGGTTGTAACAGTGATGATGAGCTTGCGAAGCCTTGGCTCAGCTATGCCACTCTGGCTCCTTGCGACTTCTCCGGCAGCTCTGCCTCGCCCCCGTTATACTCTAACACTACTGTTGTTTACTCCTCCTCTCCTCTCCGATCTGCTCCTCCGTGACTTATTATGTTCCAAGTTACGCCAAGGCACGAAAGCAGGCATGCACAGCAAGCAGCACACATCGTTTTTTTTGTTTTTTTTGTTTTTTGCACTTGCTTCACAGCTCAAACACCCACCCAGTATGATGTCAATATGTTAAGACGACACTCACACCAGAAGTGAAAAGAGGGGCGAGTGCTCTCGCCAAAGATTCGACTTCCATTGTTCACTTTTTGAAGAGCTGCTCAGAAGACTCAATTTGTTCGTGAATGTCACATCAATAATATACTGTAATATCACTAATATGATTTGCTTTCACAACACAGTCCTGAGTTTTGGTGTTGACTTCTGAGATCAATAAATGCTCACTTCTCCCTCTCCATTCACCTGCTTCCTCATCCTCTCCTCTTGTCTCTTCGTCTTCCTCAGCTCAGTTTACAACATTTTTACCTCAAACATTTTGTTGTCATAAAATAGTAAATGTAGTTGAAACACTATGACAAGGATGTTGGTCTTCCAGGTTCTGAGCAATCCAAGCAGATTGTCTTCGCTCCCACCACGGGGCCAAGTTTCGTCAACATTCCCCAGAACAACTTTGTGGAACCTTTTGTTCTCAACCCTGGAGCTTGGACTGTGCTCATCAAAGCTGAAGGAATTCTGCTGGTGAGATTCATTAGCCATTATGTCATTACTGTTAATGGGTGTGTAAGGTACACACACACACACACACACACACACACACACACACACACACACACACACACACACACACACACACACACACATACACACACACACATACACAGCACAGACACACACACACAGATCATCATGACGGAAAGAAATCTAAAGTGTCATGTTTTGCATGATGGTAGTGCACAGGACCCCAAAGAGCAGGGCGGCAGGAAGGAGCAGGGTGGAGTGACCAAAATGTATTTAACAAAAACATAAACCGGAGTACACAGGAGAAACAAACTCCAAAACTCACTCAAATAAAGTCCAGAAATCTCAGGAAACAAAGTAGCAACAAAACCTGAGACAGAAGACAAAACATGACACGCAACAGCAACACACAACAGCAACAAACAAACAATGACACAATGACCAACAGGTGTGCAGCTGCAGGCGGAGCCCTACAGTGCCACCTGTTGGTCACAAACAGAACCATGACATAAAGATTGCTTCAGGATGCATCTGAATGAAATTAAGTTTATTTCATCGCGTTAAATGATCTCATTAAAGTCTAAAATGTTCTGAAGATGCATTTGAATGAAATTGTGCATCTTTCATAAATGTAATTGATTCTTGTTCAGTTTTTGTTTGTTTTTTTTGTTTGTTTGTTTATTGAACATAAAACATACACAGTAGTAATTTGACAGAAAATAAGGTAAATAAAAGAGTAAAGAGGAAAGAGAAATTAGTCATCATTCAACACAGTTATTATGTTCAAGGGAGTAGGAAGAAGTAAAGAACTTATCTAGTCCTACCCCGTGTTATATGTTTATATCTATTGAATCATTTTTATATCAATCAGAAAAGAAACAAAGTAAGAAGAAAGAAGTCTCCATTAAGGCTCATACTTTACCCTTAACCGTGATATTTTTATACTTTTGGTTTGTATCGGGAATTTATACATACACACCCTGGCACTCTTGTGT